TTTCATAACAAATTTTAATTTAATTCGGTAATTTAATATTCGATTCAAGTAATTTTCGATTATATATTTATAAAATCAAATAGAGATTCTAATTAAAAAATATTCATCCCAAAAAGAAAGTATTCTAAAAAATATATATCTACTTTATTTCAATAGATATATAATAAAAAAAAATAAAATTAACTATATAGAGAAATAGATAAATATATAGTATCATTCGATATATTTATAGAATTTTTACAGAATCAGAAAAATATTTAATTTTATATAACTATAAATCTTTTTTCTTTTAGTGATTTCATCATTTAATATATCTTTCAATTTCAACATATTATATCAAATAAATCTGAATTTCTATTATAATAATTCGATATCTATATATCTATTTTTAAAAAATTAAGAAACCTGGATTCGACAGAATATCGAATTCATAGCTCGTAATTAATAATCCAGATTAAGAAAATAATTCTTTTCGTATTTATACTAATAAGATTCTCGTAGGTATTAAGAAGGAATCGGATTTTATGTAAATCATGATGGATCTTTAAGAAGAAATATCATATTCAAGTGTTCGATCTTATCAAGAGCCGTCGTCTCCACGATAATTGCTATCTGTAATTTCATGTTAATTTATATTCATTCTGGAGCTATAGATAGAGATATGCTAAAAGGAAGCAAAGTGTCCACTATTGGTCATTTGGGCATGAAAGTCGGGATTAAGTGTACGACATCGCAGGATAAAATTTTGAAAGCCTAAAATTCTCAGTATAATCCCATGAATCCTGGAATAAAATGCCAAAAGTAAAACAGGGGGGTCTAAAGCTTGCAACTACAGTCTTAGCGGGTTTTGCTGGGATTTCGCGAGCGGAAAATACAGAAGACGTCGTTCGGTACCCAGTGGGCCATCCTCCACAAGGGATTCGGGTTTGTCTGCGGTGTTTAGAGAAGGGGTTAAGGCTATATAGCGGCTACATGTGGGTTACGGCGACATCTGAATTTCGACCCTTCTTATCTTAGTTTGAACTGTGGAATTGAGCCTGGAGATGGCGACAGGATTTGGATGTACAAGGAAGTTCACTAGCATGGGTAGGTGGATTGTTTATTTGGACTGCAATTCTTAAACCTTTGAGTACTTTAGACCGGACTCTCTTGCTTACTTTAAAATGAGAATGGACTGGCGACACTGGCCGCGGAACCTTTAGAGTAGGAATCTCGCCAAGGAATTCGACCATCGCTGAACCCTGCCACGAAATCCCGCACCAAAAAGCTCTGCTACTGACAGGTCATGTCAAAGGCTTATCTTGACCTTCTGGAACCTACTGGTTTCGAAGCCCGAACCTTAATGGGAGTTAGGATTAGGGGCACCCTTGGGATATAGACCTCAATAAGGTCCCTGTTAAGAGAGCCAAAAGTAGGGTTCAGAAGGGTCCTTTAAGGGGTCTCCCTAATACTATCTAGGACTTAAGCCCCGAACAAAGCCCTGAATGCAAGCGCTCCAAAAAGTAGTGCTTCGCATGGTCCTGTCGAGCTGCGGTAAGCAGCTCGCGCAAAGGGTAGGCAGGCTGGCCGGAGGCTTCGAGAGAGTCAGGGTTTTGTGGTGTTTACGGGTTGGGATTTAGGGTTTAAGGTTTGTAATTGAGGGTCTAGGGTTTAGGGTTTAGGGTCGTGTGATCCTTCTGAATTGTGGTTGTAGGATATGAGAAGGCGTAAGGCCTTCCGGAATTGGATGTCAACGGTTTCAAGGTGGAAGCTTCGGGTAAGTGTGCACAGCAGCATTCATTCAAGTTCGGAGACTTTCAGATGACCGGCACCCCAAATCCCAGACCCTATCAGTACCTCAAGGGCAGCAAGTGCTCACTTAAACGACTTTTCTGGGAAGTTTCCAATGCTGCCCGAGAGCGCAGATCCCCAAGAAAAGACAAACAACAGCCAACAGCACACACAAGGCATTCCGACTAAAGGCCAATAGAGAGTTCGTTACCTACACTCAAGACCAAAACCTACAACTCTCAATGCCTAAACCCTGTCAAGACCATCCAAGCCTCGATAGTGCGAATGAAGTGGATGGTGACACCTCGGATTCCGACTCGCGATCAATGTTGATTTGTTTGGCTTTAGCTTGCACTCAGGCTTGATACCTGCATAATCAGTTTGTTGCATGTTATAGAAAAGTCAATGTCGTTGTAACTCGGCTTGTGGCGCGAACTTCGGGAATTGCAGCCATGTAGCCCCGAAGTCCGAAGGCCCAACCTGAACCCCAAAGCCCAAAACCCTTCATCTAAAACCTAAGCCGCAGAATCCCAACACGCTAAAAGCTCTAAGCCCTCAGCCCCAAAACCCACCCTGGACCCAAAGCCCTAAACCCTGAACCCTAAACCCCACAAGCCTTTAACAAATCCCTAGAAACCGTGAAGCCCATAAGCACTAAACGCATAGAAGCCCTGAGCGCTACGCCCCATAAGCCCTAAAAGCGCTAAGCCGTAAACTCTAAACCCTAGACCCTAAACCCTAAACTCGAAACCCTAAGCCCTAAACCCTAAGCCCCATAAGCCCCAAACGCCCCAACAAAAAGGCCTAAGCTCTGAGCCCCGGGAACCCGGAGTCCGACACCCTTAGGACCGTCTTGGAGGCGCGCGCGGAGCGCGGGGCAAGCCGATGAAGCCCTTCTGGTATGCCTGAGTCTCTGCTGTTTCGGTTTTTAGGGTTTAGGGTTGAGGGGTTTAGGGCTTAGGGTTGAGAGGTTTAGGGTTTAGGGATTTAGGGTTTAGGGGTTGGGTCCAGGGATTTGGGTGTTTAAACCCTATACCCTAAACCCCTCTAAACCCTGAACCCTAAACCTAGCATTCGAGGTTTTTTGTAGACCGCGGCCTTTCAGCCAGATGAATTTCGCGCCATGTTTTTTGGGCCCCAACACAACAGGCATTATCGGATGCCTCACATTACAACCCAACGAAGCTCTAAAAATCAATGCGTGGGAACCTCCCGGTGCGTGTGTGTCTGTGTGTGTGTGCGTGTGTCCATACTGCAATAGCAAGTGTCTTGGAAGCCTTCAGGTTCTTGCGCTAGGGCTTAGGGTTGTTTAGGGCTTCGGATTTGGGGTTGTTTAGGGCTCGGGATTTAAGGCTTAAGGCTTAGAGTCACACCGCATCTCGCCAGGGCCTATGAACATTACACTACACCGGAATGCAAAGAAAGTGTCGATATACTCAGAGCCTTTTGCAATAAATGGAACGCAAGGTTTCCTAATCAAGCTCCTACATTAAGCCCGGCACCCTACATGCCAATCACCCCCCCAAAGCCTGGACCATTCAATCCTCGCAAACCCGAAGCTGCAGAAAGCTACACTTTTTCTTCTGAAATCTATATTGTACTGCTACCTTCATACCAAATAAACTTGCTGTGGCTATAGGAACACATAAGACCATCATAACATGTACGTTCCTTGTGCCGTAGGCAAACGCTACCCCCCAAATGCGAAACTCCTAAAACCGGAAGTTGAGTTCCCCGGCCAGCGCTCCCTCTTGGAGCAGCTGGAGCAGACGAGGGCACTCCTTGTGCAAGGGGCACGGTTTAGGGTTAATAGAAATTGTTAAGGGTTTGGGTGCCGAAGCTTTGACCGTAAGTTTTGACCGAAACGTTTTGACCCAAAGTTTTAGTTTTTGGAACCTGATTTTGAATTTGGGGCCGGGCTGGGCTGGGCTGGGCTGGGCTGGGCTGGGCTGGAAAGATTTGACCGAAACGTTTTGATCGAAAGTTTTGGTTTTTGGAACTTGATTTTGAATTTGGGGCTGGATTGGCTTGGCCGGGTTGGGCGGGGTGGGTCTGCGGCTGGATTGGGGCTGGAGTGGGCTGGGACTGGGCTCGTGGGCTGCGCTGGGGCGGGGCGGGGCGGAGCCGGCGGCGCGTGTAGTTGCCAATTTTCCAATGGTTTTATCGAGACTAAAACCAAAGCCGTACTACTGGTTCATTTCTACTTGCACCCCGGCCGCATACACGCGCGGAGTGCAGCAGCAGTGCCTGGTCCAGGTGGTGTAGGCCTTGGATGTGTTGAACTGTAGACTTTAAACCTCAATACTTTCTGACTTTTATAATGGCGGCATGATTTTTAGTGCATTGTTTACGGAGGACGTCACTGCTTTTCGTGTCTTCTACCAAAAAATTTTGTTTGTGTGTGTGAATTCGAGGCTGACCGAAGGCGGGGGTCAGGACGGCCTCATAAATGCGCCGAATGCAGAAGTGTATGGTCTAGGTGCCGCGAGGTTCGTTCGTAAGTTCTTCATGAATAGGAGTTAACACACGTTTTTGCGTACGACATGCAAGTAACTTGATTGCATTCTGCAGGTTTTGCTGGGACAACCATTGACCTTAGCTTCTTGCAACGTGGGTGTTCACGCATACTTGGCTCTGACCCTTCTGCAAACCTTTACCCTTCTGTGTTGCAATGTGAAACAAGGAACATTGCTGCTTCCGCATGCTTCTGTTGGAAAGTCTGTTTTTTGTGCATGGAGTGCAACCGGCCGCGACAAGAGGGGGGGGGGGGGTGCGGGAGGCCGCATAAACGCGCGGAATGCGGCAGTGCCTGGTCCAAGTGCTGTAGGCCTTGGATGTGTTGAACTGTAAACCTTAACCCCCAATACTTTCTGAAAGGAAGAATGGCTGCATGATTTTGACGGCTGAGGTCACCGCTCTCACAGTAGCTTGCCTGGATAGAAAGCTGAGACACATAAGAATCTAATTCATGCATCATAGAGAATGCAAACTACCTGAGCGAGGCACATAAAAGTTTCTTCATTTTCGATTTCCGAAATGTGGTGGGCAGGGACTGGAAGGTCTTCTACATCCCACAGGTCTTTGTCTTTCTCTGCCTGCATCCCAACAAAACAAAGGTCACTGACATCACAAGAGTTTGTGCCTGCCTTGCTCTTCCAGCATAAACAACAGCAAACAGCAGTCCTCTTGCCAGTCTAGGTCTCCTGTGTGATTCTGAGTTCCTGATGGTTTCAGACGTGGCAGCTGCACTTATGCACAGTTGAAATGAAAACTAAGTACCGTACCCACACAGCAATGATGGACTCTTCTGGCATCGATGTGTAGAGCGTCTCTATGGCCCAACTTGTATAAAATGTGATGCCTTGGTCACAAAACAACTGAATAACACAGGCTGTCTAAAACTGAAAGCGTCTGTAAGTCTGTAAGTTTCTGGCTCGGTCCCATTGCCATTGCTCGTACTGCTGCCAACATTTACGCACAGAAGCACAAGTGTCCCAATCCTGGCTACCAAACTGCCGAATATGCAAAACTTGGAACACAAGCAATGGAGCATGGAGCATTTCATTGCATGATTTTCCCTGTCCTCATTCAAGATCTTGCCAAGACCTTCATGTGGTTTGCAGCTGCCTACCGGGGTCTGTCCTGGCCGCCCCTTGAAAGCAAGCAGGACATTCCCCGTATAGGACAGCCAAGCTGAATCCTGGCAATGCAAGACATGACACAGTGACACGCAAAACAAATGCAAGTATGTCTCCAGTAAATCCTGAGGTCCAGAGCTTAGTGCGACTAAGCATTTGGCGTGAGGATTATGGGCGATGTGCTGTAAGGCAGAGCAGTCATTGTTGCCTGACAAAGCATTCATAGCATTCATGCATGACCAATCCACTCAAGTCAAAGCAACCAAACAATGAAAAAGCTGAAAGACCGCCTTTTGGGCTCGAGCTCCCGGGATCTCTTGGGCTTCTTCTTCATCGAGGGATCGATAAACCCGGGTAAGAAACTTACCCAAGCTCGTCATCTCCTGGGCAACCGACTGCAGAGCAAACAACTCACTTTCCATGCTCGACAAGGACACCAACTGCTGGTGGCGACACAAGGTCTTCACAACAAATCCATCCACAGCACGAACACCGCCACTTATTCCTCGCCTCTTGGTGGTCCTCAACGGCGCATGCGAAACATCCGAAAAGCAAGCCAAATGCTTCCTATCAGGAAAGTACGTAGACTGCACCAAGACCTGACTCAAAGCTGGCAACCTCACGATGGCTCCCATGTCATTCTGAAGATACCTTACACAAGGGATCTGAAGCCTTGTTTTGTGTGATTGGTTGTTGTAGCCTGTTGAGTAACTAGAATAGACCCATAAGCTCGCCAGTCCTGACGAGTTTGTGTCATCCAAGCCACTTTTCCTAAAGCAGATCGGAACCTTGAGTAGGCCTCTGGTGATAAAGGCAAACCACCCTCCTTTTCAACATGAACCGACACATCTGGGGGACTTACAGAGCCTTTTCCCGAAAGCCCATAGGCCTTGAAGGTCTCATCCAAGTAGTCCTCTGGCAAAGACACCGTAATCGAAGACTCCCCCTCTCTCCGAGAGATAACCCTGCCAATAAAGCGCAAAGAGCCACCCCCGTCTTGAGAAGATCTGATCACATCTGTCCTCTTCAGCTCAACCCTTTTCTCAATCACCCCAAAGATGCGATCCACATCCTCTTTCGTAGGTGCAATACACAGAAAATCGTCAACATAGACCAACAGCAAACACGGACCTGACTCAAGCATCCCTGAAAAGAGACACGGCTCCAAACTAAATCCATTCTTGAGATGCCTTTCGAAGACCATTGGGCGCTTTGCCGAAATGAAGATACAACGGATCCCCTGAAACCGTAGACACCGAAAGTGGAAACTTCGTCACCACATCTCTCTTCCTCAACGGTGTAGCCATGAATGCATGTGAAACATCAGCACCTGCAACAACGCCGTTCCTGCAACCTGCAATCCCAAGAGCCGTGAACAAAGCATCAGCACTAGGAGTAGGACTCGAGATGCCCAAAGTTCTTGCAGACTCTGAGTGTTTTCCTGCAATGTCCTTGATGACAATTCTAGCTCGCACCGTGGTCGGAGTCTTCTGTGTCGTAACCCAATGGCTAGGAATGACCCTCAACGTGCCAGGAAACCTCTTCTCAAGATTCTGAAGCTCAGGCGCAGTCAACAGATCCCCTGTCTCCATATGACTCAAATTGTTCACCTCCTTGATCATGCCTTCCATGACCTGATCCCCTGAAAGCTCTCCCAAAATAGAGTCGTCGATGGCAGATTCGGCCTTCCAAAGTCTCAAGTGCGACATTTTCCCAAACGGCAAAACAACGCTCGTAGCATTTGGGGCAAGCCGAACCGAATCCTGAAGCGCTGAAAGCAAAGGAACGTGACTGGTAACTTGAAACGCCTGTTCGACAAAACTCGCAAGAGGCATGTGGATATCGTTCCCTGTTTCACAGCTATGAGAAGAAACTACACAAGAAGCAACGCCTTCTTGACCAAGCTTCATCTCACGCTCCAACTCCTCCACTGGGACTTCAAAGGAGCGTTTCGCATTGCTAGCACGCAAATCACTTCCCGACGCTGCCCCAAAATCACCTCCGACCTCAGCCGGATCAATCATGGGCATCTCTTCACCCTCACCATAAATCCCAGCAGAAGCACGCATTGAGGGAGTCCGCTGCACGGAACACTACACCTTGCCACTAGAGAAGACACGACAATTATGCTGCACAACTATGGTGCCTACAAACTCTGATTGCCTCCACAGAAATCTGTGGCAAGTGCATCATTGCCGGAGGGTTTAGGGTTTAGAGTTTAGGGGTTTAGGGCTTATAGAAATTGTTAGGGTTGGGGGGCCAACAAGTTTTTTTGAACCATATTTTGAATCTGGCGCTGGCTGGTTGGGACAGGCTGGAGGCTGGGCTGGGGTGGGTAGGGGTGCTGGCCGGCTGGGCTGGGCTGGGCTGAGGGGATGCTGGGGCTGAAGTGGGGTCTGGACTGGCTGGGCTGGGCTGGCCTCGGCAACCCTGAAGCGGAAATTGGTTTATGAGAAAATGGAAAGGTTGTGTCCCGAACGAAAAATTGAATTTCCGGATGGCCAACAGCAACAATCAATTTCTATTTATTTCTTTCTTGAGGGATTAGGGTTTAGGGCAACAATGTCACTCAGACCACCGATTTGCGGTCGCTACTTGGAGAGTCGGGGGACATAGGGAGTAGTTAGTTTATAAAGCTACAATGTACAAGTATATAACCCCAACTAGGATCCGTTTTAGGGTGTTGCAAACTCCACTTAGTACCACTTACTGTCCCCCGCCCCTCCACGTAGTGACCACCTCATTCCGGTCAGCTGTAACCATTCAGGTGGTCACAAGTGACACTGCAAAGTGTTTTTCCACCTCGCGCTAGGATGCGAGGGGAACCCTACTTCGAAAGAACCCATTCTCAAGTGTTCAGCAGCCAGCAATGCACACCATCACCGTGCAGCCGCAGAATTGCGATTGTAACGAAGTCCCGAAACCTGAAACCGCAAATCATACTCCAGCACTGTGAAAGCCCTGAGCGACTTGCGACTTCTTTTGCAGACCTTGTGCCGGTCATGCAAGGGCAGGCAAATGCAGGCAACTCACCAAGCGCGAGCTGCGAAAAACAAGGCGCAAAACAAGTTCAGCGGGACCGACGGCTCACTGTTTGTAGCCGGCCTGGAGACTTTTAAGCGTTTAGGGCCTTAGGGATTAGGACTTAGGGCGTTTGTGCTTGTAGTTGTGCAGGCTTCTTTAAGGATGCCATAGTTCTCCTCTACTTACACGGGTTTGGGGCTTCAGGACGGTTTAAGGTCTCGTGTTAGATAGAAGCAAATCCAGAGCTGTCAGCTCTGGGTTACACGAGGGCTGCAGGCCAGACAAGTTTGCGAACATGTCATTTTCAGTTGAGAAATGCCTGGGATGAATCACCCTGGTGAACCACAGTTTTGTAGGCGTGGCTGCTCAAGCGAGGACGAATGTATTTGAGCACTTCGTCCGGCCCTCGGATTGGCAAAGCCTTCTTCAGCTGCTCAGTAATTCGCGGGCAGCTGTGCTTTTATCAACACCACAAAAACCAGACTGATGAAACGACGGGACGCCATATTAACAATAATAATAATAGTAATAATAATAAATAAATAGATAAATAAATAAATAAATATATATATATATATTCTCGTCGTAACCATTACAAGAATTATGAGCCCCGCACCCAGGGCCGAAAACCCTGACCCCTGAGCCACAAAAGCCCTAAGAGCCTCAACCCTAAACCCTTCCATGAACAACCCTAAGGGTTTTTGGGTTTAGGGCTTAGGGCCTAAAGCCTAAACCCATCGCCCTGAAGAACAACCCTGAACCCTAAACCTTTTCAAAACAACAGCCGAGAGCTCTGCGACGAGCCCTAAACACTAGAAGCCCTATAACCCCTAAAACCCCTAAACCCTGAACCCTACACCGGAGCCTCCTTCTCCAACTTAGCCCAACGGGCCCGGTTGTAGTTCAAGGCACATTGCTGGATGGCTTCTCCTGGGTTTAGGGTTTAGGGGTTTAGGGGTTTAGGGCTGAGGGCTTAGGGGTTTAGGGTTAAGGGCTTAGCTAAACCCCTAAACCCCTTTCAGGGTTACCTTGAAGTTTGTTTAAAGTTTTCTAAGGGTTTATAGGTAAGTTCCTTTGATGCAGCGGTTCGATAGCATTTAGGGTTTAAAGGCCGTCGCGCCGGGGTGTCGCGTTTAGGGTGTTGGGTTTTTTTTCGGCGTTAGGGCCCTAAACCCTAAACCCTAAACGTTAGGGTTTTACGGGTTTGGGGCTCAACCTTTAGGCTTTAAGGCCCTACGCCCTAAACCCCTAAACCCTATATTTAGGGTTTCGGGTTTAGGGTTTAAACCCGAAACCCTGAACCCTAAACCCTAAACCGCTTTAGGGTCTTCAGGATTGGGGGTTCTGGGGTTTTAGAGCGTCGGCTTCGGGGTTGGGTTGATGAGGGGTTTAGAGTTTAGCGTTTTGGGTTTCGGGGTTTAGGGTTTAGGTTTTAGGGTTTAAGTTCTATAGTAAACCCCAAGAGGTTGGAAACCGGATTCAAGACAAATAGTGCTGGTTTAGGGTTGCAGCGTTGCGGGTTTAGGTTTTAGGATTCTCTATACGTGTCTCTTAAGGGTTGAGGTTGTTGGGTTTCCAACTTGTGGGCTTCTACTATACATTTAAGTCTGCCAAGTCTCCCATGGTCGGATACGGGTGCACGGTTCTGGCCTCGGCATCGAGGCCGAATTCCGGCTACAGCAAAGCCTCCAAGCTCCCGAACCCCAAACCCGAAGACCCCAAACCGGAAGCACTACTGTTGATGATATAAATCCTGCATTATCTAATGGACCCTAATCTATGGGAATTATGGCATATTCCTCAGTATGGGTAATGCAGGATTTATACCATCAACCGTATAACACTGTACCCGGGGGACTGCTGGCAAGTCCTGTCTCGGATTTGGGGGGGTCGCGCAAGACGTGACTCCGTAAACCTGAACCCCTGAAGCCTCAAGCTAGTTCGAAACATGAAACCCGAAGCTCTCATAGCAACCAACATAGTAACCCCGTTGCGTAATCCTACGGTTGATGGTTTAAACCCTGCAGTACCCACAGTAAGGAATACGCCATAATTCCCATAGTCTAGGGTCCTCAAGGAAATGCAGGATTTATACCATCCACAGTACTTTTCGCAGCTCAGGCCCCTGGCCACTTGCGACAAGCCCAAGCCGTTCTGAACTGCCAGCCTGGAAAAGCTTGGAGGCTGGCGGAGTTGGAGTTTAGGGCTTAGGGCTTATAGGGTTTCTAAGGGCTGTGAGAGTTTAGGGATAGGGTTAGGGCTTACCGGGCTTGTGGGGTTTATAGGGTTTAGGGATAAGATAAAGGGTTTATAAGGATAGGGTGAAGGATTAAGGATTGCGGCTTCAGGGGATGCAGTTGCTCAGGAGCACCGCCATGTACTTCACAATTGCCAGAACTGGGCTATGGAATAGGATTGTGGTATGTATTCTGTTAAACTTATGTGGGGCTTCACCGGGCTATTTGTTAGTATTTCATCAAACTCTTATCTTAGGGGTTCCGGTCTTGGGGGTTTCGGGTGCAAAGGCGCAGGATGTGTTGGACGTGTCTTAACCCGGCAGTGTGCATGTGCGGATGGTACCTTGTGGCTGTGACATGCACCCTCTTTGTAGGATCTAAGTATAGGGGGTAGATGGAGGGTCTAGGTGGAAAGATGTTCAACAAGATTCCTCTCGTTCAGTGCCATACCCCAGTAAACCTTCAGCCACAGTTCAAGAGTCGTTTCACGACATCCGCAATACGCGAGATGTTCACGCCCTAAGCCCAAACCCTGAAACACGTAACACGAAGCCCTAAACATCCCGAGCCCTAAAACTCCCATCAAATGTTAGAATACTCTTATGAGCAGTTATATGATTAAACCGTAAAGCTTAAAGCTCTCATTTTGCACTACTAGTTTTTCCCCTTATGAACGGTTACAATATACAGCCCCCAAACCCTGAGCCGTCCTCATCATACACGCCTTAGAATAGCCTTTTTCAGGCCCCCCCCAACACCCCGAAGCCCTCAACCTACCTTTGGTTAGTAGGGAATGGAAGAATGGCAGTAATGGTACTTATAATAGTTCCCATTCCTCCATTCCCTACTAACCTAAGGTAAGTCAAACCCAGGAGATCCGGCA